ATACAAAAAAGGCAAAGAATATAGTTTGCAAATCAAATACCCAAAGTTACTCATCCACTCATCAGTAAAAGTCCACCCAAAAGGGATTGGCCCAAAGGCCTGAAAGCCTGCCACAAGTCTAAAGCACCTTCTGGAAGGGACCCATAGAAAAGGGTCAGAAATGACCAGACAAGTCTGGAAGGAAAAGAGCAAAATCAAAATCAAGATAAACGCTGCCACAGTGAACTTCCACATGGGTCTCTCACCCACATCTGTTTCAACTAGTCCAGGACAAAGAAGAAACAAATGCAATTTCTTCACATGTCTCTCTGCTCCATGTGCCTCCCTCAGGTCTCTTTCTGGCTCTCCATCCTATTTCCTTCCTCTTCTATCTCCTCTCCAGATTCTACTCCTCCATGCTCAGCTCCACCCTTCTTCTGGGTGGGTCAGGGAACCTGGAACCTCCCCTTTTCCTGGGTACCACCCTGTTACAACTAGACTGAAATAGCTTACTAGACCTAATATATGTTTTCATATTATAAAAACTTGTACACAATTTATCATTATTGATCTTTTCTATATTATTTATTGCTAAGTTTTATTTTCTTGCTTAATGTAAGATTTCATTTTAATATCACCAACTAAATTAGCTAGACTTGGTGATAGAGTTGGAATATCATTTCAATGGTATAATATTTATATTTAGTAAGACTGTCCATTAACATTTCCCTATTCCAGTTGTTCCTTTATTCCAGTTATTCTAATTTGGCTAATTTTTTCTAAGAAGGGAGGTATAAGAAGTACTTATTCATAGTCAAGGCCACAGCATCTGGAATTCTTGTTCTTATGCACATGTAGGTGGTTGTGAATGGTTGTGAAGACTTGCTGACCTTGTCCATGAAGTCTGAACACTTGAAATTTCATGTTGGCAAAACTTTTGTTTGTTTGTTCATGTATTTTAAGCCAAAGTCTAACCATGAAACTGGAGAAAGGGGGTCGGAAAGAAAAAAGAAAAATTCTAAAATTTATTCTTGTTTTAATCCTTATCAAATATCTCCTTATTAATACTATGAGTCACTTTCCACAGAACCACAGACCTGTACATCTGTTTTCTCTTGTATCCTTCTAACTACAACCTCCAATCTTTGGGGTACATATATTTTCACTTCTTTACTTATTTGACAGTAAGAGTATTGAAATAATAGTTGTATAATATAATTCTATTTCCATCAACTTTTCTTTAGTTACCCTATTTAATGTTGTCAACAATTCTAGGAAATGGCATGGTCTAGTCATTTTGGACCACTTTGTATGTACTAGTTACTATAATTTTTTTTCTTCCAAAATATATCACTTAAAAAATTACAGCATGTCATATAATTGTGATTTTTGATTCCTACCTTTTTTTACACACATTTCACATGATTTAAAATCCTTAAAAGGGTCCTCCCTAGTGGCGCAGCGGGTTAAAGCACTGCACTGAGAAGCTAAAGCCACTTCAGCATGAGTTCAATTCCGGCCTGCCCCGGAGGTGACCACATGGTGTGGCAGACCTCTCCTGGCCCACCCGCTGCTCCCCTCAGCAGTGTACTTTGTCGATCTGCCTGTTCTACTCCCCAATCTGTCTCTGGTGAATCCTCTCGCTGCCCCTGAGCCTCTGGCCTGTACCCCAGTTCTGTATGAACAAATAAAAAAAAAATCCTTAAAAGACATTGCTACCTTTCTTTGCCCAACTTTCCTCTTCCTGCCTTACTCTATGCCAGCCACACTGCTGTTCTTTGCTGTCCATTAAATACAGTCATTCTGGACTTGCTATAGCTCTGCCTAGCATTTCCTCTGTCAGGAATTTCCCATGCCGTCCAGGGCAAATTAAAGTCTTTATAAAATCACCTATTCATCTTTTCAGTGAGATTGTATTTAATCCCACTATATAAAATTGTAATACGGTTACCTATTTCCATAGTCCCTCTCGCCATTTTCTATTTTAATATCCTGTATTGTATTTGTTACTTTCTAAAGAAAATCCTATACTTCTATATATTTATTTCATTATGATCAGAATTCACAATTTATAAGCTCTATCAGGGGAAATTTTGTTCAGTGCTGCATCCCATCACTAGAATAGCACAGCATACAGTGGGTATAAATATTGTGTGTGTGTGTGTGAGTGTGTGTGTTTGCACATAGTTATAGATAAAGCTCAAAACACTAATAATAACCTGCATGCAGTTTTTTCTGGGAAGGTTAATGGTGTTATAGAAAAAATGAAAGGAACCTTTTACATTTTACTTTATATTCTCGTGCGTTGCTTGAATTTTATATTATAAAAATGTCTGGATTTCTTTTTTTCCTTTTCTTTGCATGTCCCTGAATCTCTTTCTTAAAACAGATCAAATCAGCTAGCAAAACCCCAAAACTGTAGGCAACATCTACCCTAGAACTAGACAACATGGTATTTCCAAGAACCCTTGTATGCAAATAGATAGGAACAAAAACACTCAGTTATAAGACTTTTGTGGTATCTGGATATTTATGGGAAGAAGTTAAAGTAACAAAGGTCATCTGACTGCTGAGTCCTGAGGACAGAACTCCAAAGAGCCCACAGGCACTCACTGTAAAGCTGAGCAGACCAATTTGAGAATGGCAGGTGAAATTGAGAATTTTTACACACTCCAATTCACATGGAATGGCCAGGATTCTGAAAAGATTGATAAGTTTCTGAACTTTCAGGTAACTGGAAGTAAGTGGAGCACCCTCCCAGGACAAAGTGCTATGATGAAGAGAAATTGCTAAATGTATAACCCAAAGTAAGGGGAGAAAGATCACAGGAGCAAAGGAAACCAAAGTCCAAACAAAAATGGGGGTAAGGTAGCAAATCTCAGAAAGCATGAGACCATAAATTTTTTACTAATGAGAGAAACAGAAAAGGGAGCATCTGACACTTGAAGATGCTCTTTTCCTTTCTGAAAGTTTAGAAATGTCAATTTCAATTAAAATGAGCAAGAATAATAGAACATGTTTGACTGTCATACAAAATATGAGAAAGAAATAGGATATGAAATAAAATCCCTACAATAAAAATATACCAGAAAGACATTCTCACCAAAGGCAAAAACTTTATCAGTATATTTTGAATTGACCTAAAAAAATTAATAAAACGATAAATGGAACATTAGAGACCACAATTAGAAGAACCCAGGAATGAAGTGACTGACTCCACAAAAGAACTAGAAATAAAACAGAAATCTAAAAAATGAACTAGAATAAAGTAATGAATTTAACAATGTAACACATCAACAAAAAGATTAAGAAAAAGGAGGACTTCTTCAATTAAAATAAAAAAATGAAAAACAATGAAGATCCAGCATACTATATGGAAATGTAAACCAAAATAATATGTTGACATGATAGCAAATGAAATTATATATTTGAGGTTTTAACTAATAATAACTTTCCATCATAATTGAAAAAGTGCCCTGAAGTGTTATCTTGAAATTATATATTGAAAGGAAATCATGCATATTCAGAAAACTTCCCAGACTGAGTAAGCTGAAACATATTTTAGAGAAGCTATTGAACTTTGAAGAAAAAGAAACTTCCTTTAAGCATCTTGGCAAAAAAGGCCAGACCCTGTCATTTGCAGGGGAAAGTTCATTTTGTTACCAGAATTTGGGACAGTAGTCCTTTATTTCAGAAGAAAATGTAATATCGTTACGACTCTCAAAAATGAGAAAATCATATCTAGCCAAGAACATCGCATCTATCCAAACTGACTTTCAAGAGTATAGGCTACAAAAGTTGTCAACATGCAGAATCAGAAACATATTCCCTTAAGCAGTGTCGGAGGAATTTATTAGAGAATGAGCTTCAAATAATCAAAATGACTTCAAAGAAGTGGATATAAAGAATTTTAGAAAGTTTAAGATTTAATAGAAGAGAGATTATGTGTATGTGTGTTATATACATCATGGTATATACACTCTACTATACTGCTTAAAGTATTAACTGGAACTAAAAGGATAAGACTGCAAATTAGATACTGCAATAGAATAAAATGCATTTTATCAAATTTATCAACCACTAGAACACAATTATAAACCTAAATTTAAAAAAGAGGTGCAAAATAATAGATTTTGATATAAAATGCTATTAAATATAACATTAATTTTAAATTAAATTTAGTATGTTAAATATTAAATGTGGTATTATTTAATGCCATTTTTTCCCTAAGGTAATTGATAGGGGCCTCCCTGGTGGCACAATGGGTTAAGTTGCAGCCCTATGAAGCTATCTGCAGACACTGCAGTACTAATTTGACCCCTACCAGGGGATGACGCTTATAGCTAAGCAGACCTCTCTTCTTTTGCCCACTGATACCCTGAAGAGTGTATTTCACTGTTCTGCTCTCCACTCTATCGCTAATAAATCCTCTCTCACTCCCCCCACATCTGGTCTGTACCTCAGGTTTGTATTCTTGTATGCGTGAATAAATAAATCTTAAAAAATAAAATAAATGACAGGAACACAAAATATACACAAAAATATGCTTGTATAAAAATAAAAACTTTAAAACAATAAAAATTAACCCATTTAAAAAATGTTTAAATATAGAGGGAGGGAAGGAATAGAGTAGATTGCACAGGACATATACTGGGCTGTTTTGGATAGACAGTGGAGAATCAACTCCTGATATCAGCTAGCTATTTTAAATAATTGTAAATTGAAATCCAGTTTTAAAAGCCTCATCCCTAAAAATAGGGGGAAAAAACTTAAGTCAAAATACAATACTGTGATTACAGTTGTATATTTCACCATGAGAATTTCTTTGTTTAATATTTGCTAACAACTCAAGATGTGAGCTTGAAGTTTCTACAAATAACATTTACTAGTTGGGTCCAAAGAAATATATATGGTTGTTGCTTTTTCCTCCATACCTAACAAACACAAAGGAATAAATCATAAGTGAAATGAGTTGATTCAGAGGAAATTTACTCACTGTTTCTCCTTTTCCTTTTCTCTAGGAAGATAAAAGAAAGTCTGGAGTGTTTCCCTGTTAAATTAAACAATTTGATCCACATACTGGCTCAAATGACAGCCATCAGCCATGCCAAATCTACTTCACAGAACTTTCCTCAGGAATCCTTTACACCGAGTGCAACCAGGTCAATTCTAAAAGCAACAATTTTAGGGCTCAGCAAGAAAAACAGTCATGTAAGTCTCAAATTGTCATCTTGACTTAAAATCAATTGAGTTATCTCAGATTCCCTTCATTCTGCTACACCTCCATCCTTGTACCATCATTTTTTTTTTTACTATGCAAATGATTCAGTTACGGTTTGAGCAGAAGTGCCATTGAGTACCATGTTCTAGGGGAAAATCATAACCACCACATCAAAGAAACAGTTCTTGCCCTATGGTAGAATATAAATCCAGAGCTAATTAAAGTGTTAAAAAAAAAAAAAACCCTAACAACACAGTAGAGAGTAGGCAGTCTGTTCCCAGCATTAAGATTCTGTCTTTTTATACTGTGTTTGTAAGCAGATTTTGCCTTTTCAAATTCTATCTCTTAGTCTTTGTGATAATTATTTAGCAGAAAATTTCTTGCTTTGTTTCTTTTACATGAAACCAGACTTTAGAACATATCACAGGGTGGTAATGCTATCTTTTGATTTTTGTCTCTTTATTTTCTGCAGCTGTATCTTATCCAGGTGACACACAGCAACAATGAAAGAAGTTTGACAGAAAAATCATTTGACCAGTTTTCCAAATTTCACAGCCAGCTTCACAAGCAATTTGCATCTTTGATTCTCCCAGAGTAAGACATTGTCCTCCTTGGTGAACATAAGGGAAAATAGGGTTATGGGATTTTCTATTTGTGTACAACACAGCATTCTGATGCTATTGCACTGAACCTATCCCAGCAGAGTTTATATTGCTGTGGGAGTAAAGAACCTTTCACCACTTAAAACAGAATGAGTCCTGCTGTTTCTGTTTGTTCCTAGACATTGATACTGTAGATAGAAAAGAATTCAGAACTGGTTTCATTTTTTACCAGTTATCAGCAAATTATTTTCTGTGACTGTTTTTATTTTTTTCTAAAAGTAAAAGGGTAATTGAAAATACAGCACTAAATCACATAAATCTATTCTTTCTACAAGTAACCAATAAAAAACTGATATATTTATTTTCAGTGCCCCCAAAAACATTAAATTTATTAACATCAATTAGTACTTCATAAAATTAGTTACATTCAAATCACTGCCATTTTCACTATTAACTATGACTTGCATTATATAAATTTAATTTGTTGCATTCACTCTAAAGCAATCTTAAAAGTCATTGCTTTCTTTCATGTTATAATGGAAAAAATATTAAACATAAGAGCAAATGAGTTGAAGGGAACCTCCTAAAATATATCACTTAGAACTATTCAAATTCAGGCCATTGACTTCAGTGAACAATAAATGTTTATCTTGACTTACAAAGATGACCTTCCCAAAAATTATGATATTGTTATTTAGGTATATTATATCAAATGTTATGTTATCTATCCTAGGATTTTTGTTAAGTAGATGGTCCTTTAACAAGATGACTATCCATACCTCACTGGAAATGCTATATTTGTGAGTTTTATCTAGACTTTCAAGATTTAGTCACTTTCTAAAATATAAATCTAGGCGAAGTTATGAATTGCTTGAGAGTTGCTGTGCAATATTGAATAGTAGTAGTAGTTCAAATTAATGAAAAACTAGGTGCCACAGAGATGTTGAAATATAGATACTGTAAAAACTGGAAATTCAGCAAGTAATTGTATTCTCAAGAGAGTGAATTAGAAGCAGTATTGCTGTGAGACCTATTAAAAGTATCATCAGCTTCAAGAATTATCAAAAAAAAAAATCCTCTAGAATAGCAAAAAAGAAATTCAAGGCTTCCCTGCAAATATTGAGCTCAGTATTAGTGATTGTCATCATATCATACTAATTATTGATTTACAAGTATAAATTAATCCTTGTATTACTTATTAAGTGGCTTTCAAAACTTTTCTACCTTTATATTTCCAAAATACACATTAACAAAGCTTGTAAAACATTAAAATATTAATATCTCTCTCCATATATACACTTTCTCTAGACTCTCAGCTTTAGTTAGGATTCTGCTTTGCTCAACAACTACTGCATGCTAATAGAACTTAAGATGATTTCAAAGGGATTCAAGCAGTGTGTGAAATGGAGGAACATTTATTCCCATGTGCCCTCAACAGTATTTGTATGCTGACATTCCCAAAGGAATTGTGGTTTACAGCAATGTGTGTAAATGAAGGATGAGGGCAAGATTTCCTCTGACTCCTAAATTTACTGAGAGAGAAGCTCTGTGAGAGTGATGTGAACCCTATCTGGAAAACAGAACACAAAGAATAAAATTCTAGTTAGTCACAAATATAACGTAGTCTTCATTTTAAGCTACTTGTCCCTTAAGCTACCTTCTAAGATAACATAGGCATGAAAGTCATCCTTAAAATTAATGATCTTTAAAAAATGTAATCTGCTTGAGAAGGTTGATTTCCTTTCCTTCTTTACTTTCACCATTGCTCTTCTCCCAGCCATCCAGAATCTTATATTGGTGCACTGTCATTCCTGGGGTGCAAAACCTCCAGAAATCCACCAAAAGGGCAAATCAAAATACCTGTGTTGGTAAAAAGAAAATGAATTACTCTACTACCCAGGTATCAAATTTATTTGCAAGTCAGGTGTTTT